CAATTGGTGTTACCCCTAATCTATCACGTATATCATCGTTCCGAACTCGATCCCTTCTTGTATAACTGCAAATCCAATGCAACATATGCATTTCCGCGACACTTATCTGTTGAACATGTCCTCTTTTCGTAGGCCAACATTCTGCACCATACAACATAGCATGTCTAATCGCCATCCTATAAAACTTACATTTTAGCTTCTGTGGTACTCTTTTGTCACATAGAACACCAGATGCTTGCCGCCACTTCATCCACCCTGCTTTGATTCTATGGCTAACATCTTCATCAATGTCTCCGTCTCTTTGTAGCATTGATCATAAATATCGAAATGTATCCTTCCTAGGCACTACTTGACCTTCCAAACTAATATCTTCCTCCTCCCGAGTAGTAGTGCCGAAGTCACATCTCATATACTCAATTTTAGTTCTAGTGAGTCTAAAACCTTTGGACTCCAAAGTCTCCCGCCATAACTCCAGTTTCTGATTCACTCCTGTCCGGCTTTCATCAACTAGCACTACATCATCCGCGAAAAGCATACACCAAGGGATGTCCCCTTGTATGTCCCTTGTAACCTCATCCATCACTAAGGCAAACAAATAAGGGCTCAAAGCTGACCCTTGATGTAGTCCTATCCTAATTGGGAAGTCATCCGTGTCTCCATCACTTGTTCGAACTCTAGTCACAACATTGTTGTACATGTCCTTAATGAGCCCAACGTACTTCGTTGGGACTTTATGTTTGTCCAAAACCCACCACATAACATTCCATGGTATTTTATCATAAGCCTTCTCCAAGTCAATAAAAACCATGTGTAGGTCCTTCTTCTTCTTCCTATACCGCTCCATAACTTGTCTTATTAAGAAAATGAGAAAGCAGAAATATATATTTTTTAAATAAAAGGCAAGAGGTTTGCCGCTCAATTAAGAAGAACACAAAGATGTCACACATCCGAACAACATCCAAACTCTAGCACTTAGCGACAAACACATAAATAGAGCTCACCATACGTCATCGTTGCTGAGCTTTGGCGGAAAAGCGATAAAGCAGCTTCGACTTCCTATGATGAACTTTCGCCAAAATCACCTGGATAACACTACCTGCACATGGGCTCCACAAGACACCCGGGAAGAGCTACCCTGTCATCACCTAGCTTTGCACGCCCCAACGAAGCAGCTCTGACTCCACTTTAGTAGGCTCCACCCAAGAAAGTCAGCGGCTCGCCGAGAGAAAGAAATACAAAGGAGGCATAGGCCTCATCAGTCATCAATGCTAATAAAGATTGAGCAAGATCACACCAACAGAGTCCGCCGATGGTCATCGTTACTCAGCCTGTTCGGCTGGGGCTGAAACGATCGTATATGATCGTGGATTATTACTGCTGGCTGGTTTGGTGTGAGAGAAAAACACTATTCTGGCTGAAAATTTATGATCATTTACAACCAAGCGAACAGGCCGACTGAGTTTCATGCGAAACTGAAGAGCAGCTTTGATTTCCAACAGTGAACCTCTGCCCCATCTCAGGTTACCAAACTTTTGCCCATAGCAACCGCTTATAGCTAGCAAGAAAGAACACATTGTGTGTCATCGTTGTCGTGCTGCATCGCATCCCAGCGATGCTACAACTCTGACTTCACATGATGCACCTAATCCACCAGCATGAAAAGGTCACTGTGAAGCGAGGGGTGGCAACACAAAGGTAGAGGCCTCTCGAACCCAAAGAGGTGTAAGGCTGATCGCCAAGAATGACACCTCCAACAAGGGAACGACACCAAGTGCGCCGTCGTCGCTTCTTCACGTCCACAGTGAATAGGGTTTTCATCCGGAGAAGCCCGAAGCAAGGAAGGAGGCCGGCCCCTCAACGATGGCCTTCAGCCACGTTGCCATCGTCGACACCGGTGAAGGCACTGGACAAGGCTTTCATCCGAAGCACACCTCCAGGCTTATCGTTGAGGCTACACAAATCTCCCTACACAACCTCAGGCCACACAACCGACCCTGCACATCTCCGGATGCAGAAGTCGCCGAAGCTACCACGATCTCAGCACAACCATTGCCCACACGGCCAACTTGCAACGTACATCCTGCAGGCTGTAGTCGCCAACATGCCTGGCCGCCGCATGCCCACCACAGAGGTGCCGGACGCCTCAAGCCTCATGCTGCCGACCACGGCCTGCATGCGCACCACCGAGCCACCCATGACGAACAGAGCATGCCCACAATAGATCCGGCCAAGGGGAGGCAGATCCAGCCACAAGAGCCGGAGCAGCGCCCCTGACGTGCTAGGAAGCACCTGCCCCTGGCCAGGCACTGCCGCGTTGCCTCGCCGCCCGCGTGCCATCACGCCTCGCTTCGCTGCGCCTTTGCCGCACTGCTCCGCTGATATGCCCTCGTGCCACCACTTTGTGCCGCCCAGATCGACAGATCTGCCGCAACACCACCGGGAAAAGCTCCGTCGCTGCCCTTCTCGTGGCCACCTAGGCTCCAGCGGGCTACTTCGGCGGTGGCAAGCTGGAGGGCCCTAGGGAAGGGGCTTGCAGCCGAAAGTGCCACCGCGCGAGTCGCCCCTGGTGGGAGCGACGTGGGGGCTCGAACGTGGAAGGGTAGCCCGAGAAGGGTAGCCTGAGAATGTTATCACGAAACTAGAAATACATGAGGATTATATTCGGAGATCTAATTGAAAAAGCTGTTAGAGGATTTTTTTTTTGACCAAAATCTCTATTCGTATCAATATGAAAGGATATAAAGATACTCTTAAAGTTGCTAAGCTTTTAAAAAGGTATTAAGTGGACTCAGGGATCATGAGTAGCAAAGGTAACTCTAAGAGCAGACCAAGTAAAATCAAACTCCAAACTTGTTCTGTGAGAATTAAAAAATAGTTGGGGAACGAGAGAATAGGGAACGAGGGAGGGGGAGCCCTCATGCGGAGACGATGGAGTAGGAAGGGAAAATTAACATGTAACCGAAGATAGCGAGGAAAAAATTAATACTGAACTGAAGGCGGGGCTCAATCATGTTGTATGTACCGAACCATCAAATACTTAAGTAAACTTTTCCTCTCGGTTGGATTTGTGCAATGAAAGCTGCCCCAAGAAAAAATTACTAGATTAAATAAATAGAACGGCCTAATGCTGCAATCCATCTTACATAGCCACTTTATAAGCCCCCCCAAACTCTCCCCCATCCAACTTGCATCGCCACCAAGCTCCTGCGGGTCCCACTTCCTAGCACATACTCTCTCCGTCCCTAAATAACTGTCGTCGTTGGTCTACGTGCCACAAGTTTGACTCGATTTGCCTCGCCACCAAGCTCCTGCGGGTCTCACTTCCTAGCACATACTCTCTCCGTCCCTAAATAACTGTCGTCGTTGGTGTGCGTGCCACAAGTTTGACTCGATTTGTAGAAAATACGTGCAACATTTGTATATCCAAATAAATTTATTAAAAAACTAATTCAAAGATCTTTTCAATGATACTAATTATATACCATAACTATTAATATTTTTTAATATATATTTAGTCGAAGTTGTTTCTCGATAAACGAAAACGACAGATATTTAGCAACGAAGAACCGACTATCGCAGCCTTTCTGTCCGCCACCGCTGTGGCCTCCACTATATATGTCAGGGCAAACCCACGACGATGGCCGGCAATCACCGGAGACTGCTAGCCGGCATCACTAAACATGAAGGCGCTTGTGGGTTTTGAGATCTGCTAGCGAGTGCATTGGCGCCTTGCAGTGACGAGAAACTTTGACATTTGACACCGAATATGCACGCCTCATATATTTACATACACCTTTGGATATTTAACTCTATGCTTGCGAATTGTTTTAATTCAAGGGATTTTTGTTCATTTCTCTCTTTTTTTATTTTCTTTAATCTCTTCTCCTTTTTCAGGCCATCTAAACTGTCAAAAATGCCCTGGAGAGGGATCTCAAAGGGGATCATAGCGTCAGCTAGTGGAGGACAACACCGTTGCAACTTCTAGTGTTACGGAGCTCGCTGAAACCCTAGCGTGTCGAGCGGCGTCGTGTGGCTTTGGAGGGGTTGCAGCGGGCGGTTCTCCTCTTGCGGTGGAGGGGCGGCGGAAGGAGGCAGTGGTGTTGCCACTTTTGTGTGCTGTGGCGCCATGCCTTAGCCATCGGGAGCAGGCGGTCTAAGAATCGAGAGCCGAACGAATGACTTGAATTGATATGTATTACTAGGCCAACATTTTTGTCAGTTTAGGTGGCTTGAAAAGAGAGTAGAGATTAAAAACTTAGAAAATGAGAAAAATCCTTTGAATCAAAACAATTCAAAACCATACTTGAATTGCGTGTTAAGAGATGTTAAGAGATGTATAGCATGCCATGTCAAATATTGAAATTTCTCATGTACCGACTATCAGCATTAATCAGCCTGTTCATTACGGTTGAAACGATCGTGGATTATAAGCCAGAAGTACTGCTGGCTGGTTTGGTGTGAGAGGAAAATACTGTTCCAGTTTATAATTCACGATCATATAAGCCGAAACGAACAGGCTGAATGATGCAGGGATCGGTCAAGCACATGGAGAAGGAATTGAAGATTGGGCTTGGGCCTTGGCCCTTGGGCTGGTGAGTCGGTTTCAGGTGTTGCTAAGCTGAATGTCAAATGAGAGAGTAGTCATTAGTTCTGACTAGAGATGAAAACGGATCGGGACGGATATCACTGATATTATATTTGTTTTCATATTTTTTGAATTCGGATTCGAATACGAATAGTGTCAACCATACCGGATAGAATAGATTGGATATCGACATCATAAATATACGATTTGAGTATTCGGATATGGATATGGTATCGGATGTTGAATATCTGAACTCGGATACGAACAAATTTAAACCCCTCTAAACGAATTTGGTATCGAATACGGTCGAAAAATGTCAATACCATTTTCATCACTGCTTCTGACCGAAGAGAAGCTCGTCTCCTACGTCCTACCTCGCGGAACCAGTCGCGTATCCCACCCCACGGACACGGCAATGCCGTCTCGTGCCCGCATCTCCTCCGCCGTCTTCACCACCGCCGCTTCCTCCTCGCCGTCGCCGCGCGCTCCCCACCTCGCCCTCGCCGTCGCCACGGCGCGGGTCCTGTCAGGGACGTTCCGCCCAGAGGAGGCACACCACCTGTTTGACGAATTGCTGCGTCAAGCCAACCCCGTCCCCGAGCGCGCGCTGAACGGGTTCCTCTCCGCGCTCGCGCGTGCGCCGTCCTCCGCCGCCTGCAGAGATGGTCCTGCCCTTGCCGTCGCTCTCTTCAACCGCGCGTCTCGAGCTGACGGCCCGCAGGTGCTGTCCCCTACAGTCTGCACCTATGGCATCCTCATGGACTGCTGCACCCGTGCGCACCACCCGGAGCAAACGCTGGCCTTCTTCGGCCAGGTTCTCAAGACAGGCTTGGGCGTCAATACCATCATGATCACCAACCTTCTCAAGGGCCTTTGTGAAGCAAAGCGGACATACGAGGCTCTGGACATCCTTCTCCACAGAATGCCTGAGTTGGGCTGTGTGCCTGATGTTTTCTCGTACTGCATACTTCTGAAGAGCCTCTGCAACAACGGAAAGAGTGGTCAGGCATATGAATTGCTACGAATGATGGCTGAAAGGAAAGCTGCCTGCTCGCCCGACGTGGTTGCGTATAATACGGTCATCGATGGCTTCTTTAAGGAGGGCGATGTTGCTAAAGCATGTGATCTATTCAATGAAATGGTACAGCGGGGAATTTCACCTAATTTAGCGACTTATAACTCCGTTGTTCATGCACTGTGTAAGGCAAGAGCAGTGGACAAGGCAGAGGCTATCCTTCGACAAATGGTTGATAAAGGTGTTCTGCCAAATAACAGGACGTATAACAACTTGATCTATGGATATTCCTCTATGGGTCAATGGAAGGAGGCAGTGAGGGTATTTAAAGAAATGACAAGTCGAGGCATCCTACCAGATGTTGTTACTTTGAACTCATTAATGGCTTCCCTTTGCAAGCATGGAAAAATCAAGGATGCTAGAGATGTTTTTGACTCAATGGCAATGAAGGGCCAAAAACCTGATATTTTCTCCTACCAAATTATGCTCAACGGGTACGCTACTAAAGGATGCCTAGTTGATATGGCAGATCTCTTCAATTTGATGCTTGGAGACAGTATTGCACCTGACATCCATATTTTCAGCGTGCTGATCAAGGCATACGCTGTGGAATGCTAGATAGGGCTACGATTATCTTCAATGAAATGAGGGAGCAAGGAGTGAAACCTGATGTAGTAACCTATTCGACAGTGATCGCTGCGCTTTGCAGAATTGGTAAGATGGATGATGCTGTGGAAAAATTTAATCAGATGGTTGATCAAGGAGTAGCACCCAATATGTCTACTTACTATTGCCTGATTCAAGGTTTTTGTATTCATGGTGGTTTGCTGAAAGCCAAGGAATTGGCATTGGAAATGATGACTAAAGGTATGCATCCTGACATTGTTTTCTTCAGTTCGATAATAAACAACCTTTGCAAAGTGGGAAGGGTATTGGACGCACAAAATATATTTGACTTAACTGTAAGTATTGGTATGCATCCTACTGTTATGGTGTATAGTACGCTGATGGATGGGTACTGTCTAGTTGGCAAGATGGAGAAAGCATTAGAAGTATTTGATGCTATGGTGTCAGCTGGCATTCAACCAAATGTTGTGGTGTACGGTACACTCGTTAATGGCTATTGTAAAGTTGGAAGGATCGATGAAGGGTTGAGTCTTTTCAGAGAAATATTGCATGAGGGAATGAAGCCTTCAACTATTTTATACAACATCATACTTCATGGATTATTTCAGGCTGGGAGAACAGTTGCTGCAATGGAAATGTTCCATGAAATGGCTGAAAGCAGAATCTCAGTGGACACAGATACATACAGGATAGTTCTTAGTGGACTTTTTAAAAACAGTTGCTCTGATAAAGCAATCTTGCTTTTCAAAGAACTACATGCAATGAATGCAAAGATCGATATAAAAACTCTCAATATCATGATATCTGGAATGTTTCAAACCAGGAGAGTTGGAGAAGCTAAGGATGTGTTTGCTTCAATCTCAGGAAATGGACTGGTGCCTTCTGTTGCGACATACAGTGTAATGATGACAAATCTTATAAAAGAAGGATTGGTGGAAGAGGCAGACGATATGTTTTCATCCATGGCGAATGCTGGCTGTGATCCTGACTCCCGATTGCTGAATCATGTGGTTAGGGAATTACTAGAGAAACGTGAAATAGTCAGGGCTGGAACTTACCTGTCGAAAATTGATGAGAGGAATTTCTCACTTGAACATTCAACCACAACGTTGCTGATTGATCTCTTCTCAAGCAAAGGGATTTGTCGGGAACAGATAAGATTTCTTCCTGCAAAGTATCATTTTCTTGCAGATGCCAGCCCATACTGATTGTTAGTAAATCTTACAAGGAAGCATAGATCTCCAAAAAAATCCTTCTCGACTTGCTGTTTGCACCTGGGAAGTTAGCTGGAAGTTAAAAGTCAAGTACATGTGAGATTTTCTCTCGTAGCATTAGCATCTTTATCATGGCTGCTAATACAACTGATGTTGCACTTATGAAGAATGACTTCTGAATTGTGACAGAGAATGTAGCACTTGTGATCACACGAGGCATGATATAATGAATATTTTTGGAATTCAGTCCTTTCACGTACCTGCCACTGGTACGCTAAATGTGATCTTATCTAAAACAGTCGGTTGACTTAATGTGCATGTTTTCTTGGAAGATTTCTTCTCATTTGACCTGCTTGATATTCAGATGTTCTTTTACTTTTGATTCAACAATTCTGTACCTTTTGAGTTTTGATTCAACAATTATGTACCGAATGTTCAGGTAAATGGCCTGATGAAGGAGCTTTTGATGTTTTCGGAAGCATATTCGCTCGGCGGATGGTGCAGCAGTGGTGATGTTTTACTCTCCAATCTGTGTGCTTTCCGTACACAACTGATGTGCGATCTTCTCTTGTAGCATGTTTTATCATGGCTGTTAACATAACTGATGTTGCACTTATGAAGAATGAGATTATGACTGCTGAATTCTGAATTCTGATGGAGTATGGAGCTTGCGTTGAGCTCTCTTGGCGACCTGGCAGAGCCGCCGAGCTCGGCATGTCATGGCGCAGAACAGAAGCAGCCCTCGGACTGGAGTCGGACGGAGGAGCTTGGGGTCTCTGCTCATAGTCATGAGTCATGACGCAGAAGAGGGCAAGGCCTGCGAGGACCAAGCGTTGGAGAGCGGCGTGTTGGTGCCAGCCTGCCAGGCGAGCCGCGAGCCCGCGAGCCCACGACTCGGGACCGACCAAACGATGTGGGAGTCGGTGCAATAGCCCAAAAGTTGGCAAGGTTGGTTATTTGAGACGCTGTTTGGTTTTTACTCGACTACTAAACTGAACTAGTACTAGTCGCGCATCAAATTAGTCGCTATGATGATTTTTGTCAATTTTAACCACTATAAAATGAACTAGGATGGACAAATACAAAATTTAGCACCCGAGCAAATACTATATGCTAATTTTGGTCAAAATAACTACAATTTAGCTTTGTATCCTCTGAAACATACTGTATAGGTTACCAATCAAACACATCTTAGGTACGGTGCCATTTTTTTGGGGTGAAAGTGCCATTTTTTAAATTAAATTAAAGGACCATAAGTTAAACTTTTGAACTTATTTTTTTTAAATGGTTGTTTTGGACTTTTGGTAGGGTGATGACAAATGCTGAAATCATCCTATCACAGCGAAGCATGGATGGATACGGATCTTGCCGGATATGGATCGGATTTATGGATACGGATCTTGCTGAATACAGATACAAACTAATGTCTTGGATTCAGATTCTATTCGGATATTGACCCAATTCAAAGTGCATATTATTAAATTCAACATAGATGAATAGTCTTACTTCTAAGTTTGTCCATAACCAAAGTGAAATAAAAATCAAAGTACCCCAGTACACTCCTAATAATCTCTAATATCGAAGTGAAATAAATTATAATAGATAATATTAAACAAAATAGTAGGTTCAATGAATAAAATTAAATAAGAATGGTAGGCAACGAGTAGCCATTTTGCTTCATCAATTATTTTGTAATTACAAAACTATTACGCAAGTGGAGAATAAAGTATGTAGGTATATAACATACAAAAGAATAGCTCATAACAAATAATATAGTAATCATTAAATATTTAATAAATAAATATATCAATTAATCAATCATTATTTATATAATATTTATCATGAAACTAAAAATTATATAAAATAATTTACATTGGAAAAAATAAATTTAAGTATTAAAATAATTTGCAACAACAAATATATTAGGTTTAAACCAAATTAGAGATACTAAAAATAATTTAATATTTATGTATCATTAATAGTATTTAATTAATTTTGAAGTTTTCTTATAGATATACTAATAAATAGTTTTATTACATCATTAATATTATTAAATTAAATAAATTAGTCACTAGTCATGAAAAGAAAACTTTTGAATATATTCATTACACCATGTTCTCCACGGATACGGATAAATGTCAGATATTCTACATTTTTATCAAATACGGATTTAAAATCGGATAGAGAAAATATTAAAAGATAAATACTGATACATCTATTTAGTATCCATAATAAAAACCGATACGAATACAAATATATTGCACGTTTTAGCGGATAATAATTTGGATCTCCAGACGTCCATTTCCATGGCGAAGCAACCGTCGCAGGCAATTCATGGCCCACCATCTAGTGGTCCAAACTCCAAAAGCTCCTTGACCTTTACGACACGTGGGACGCCGAGACACGCACCACAATCTCCTCCACTTGCTCAGTGCCACGTCAGCAGAGACTGGGCCCACACCCCGACCCTTTCCCCCTCCACCACACTCTTCCCTCCTCGGCCTCCACACCCCCCCGCACACTCCCCGACCCCGACCCGTTCGGACAGACGACGATGGCGGCCTCCAACGCCGCATCCGCATCCGTCTCCTCGGCCGCGCCCCGCCTGCTCCTGCTCGGCCGCCGCGGGGGAGCCAGCGCCAGCGCGCAGCACCGCAATGCGCGCTTCCGCCCCGCCGCGGCCGCCGCCGCCACCTCGGCGGGCGGCGGCAGCGGCGGGGGGTCGTACCTGGACATGTGGAGGAAGGCGGTGGAGCGGGAGCGGCGGTCGGCGGAGCTCGCGCGCCGGCTCCAGGAGGCGCCGCCCCCCGCCGCCGAGGCGGACGCGCCTCCCGCGCCGCCCGTGCCCGTGGAGGACGTGCGGCGGCGGACGGCGCGGTTCGAGGAGATGCTGCGGGTGCCGCGGGAGGAGCGCGACCGCGTGCAGCGCCGCCAGGTCATCGACCGCGCCGCGGCCGCCCTCGCCGCCGCACGCGCCGTGCTCAAGGAGCCACCGCCCACCTCGCCGCCGTCCTCCCCGCCCCCGACGCCGCCGCAGGTGGCCGAGACGGCCAGGGTGGGATCGGCCGCGGGCGGCGCTGCTAGTGGATCGGATCGGAGCTCCCGGCCGGCGGCGCGGGCACAGCTGTCGCCCTCGGCGGAAGGTATTGGTTTCCGCTTTCCACTGGGTGTGCACGTGAGATTGTTTAAAGATCACGCGACCTGCCTTTTACTCATCGTGATCCTTTTTAGTTTTTATTTACAATACTCCAGCTTTTAGACATATAAGCCCATACTATTAGGCAGAAATGGGCTTCGTTTCTAATCAGGAAGGTATGAGTGTATAAACACTAAAGAGATCATGAATTGCTTAGGGGGAGCTCTATTGAGCGATGTGTTGGATAACAAAGAATCAAGCCATGAATCCTTAAAAGAAAAATTGGAAACTGGAATATGCAAAGTGTGTTGGATAACCGAAGGATCTTGATGATTCTTTCTTTCAGTTATCTCTAAGCAAAGCAACTTTTAGGAGACATGGGTACTCTTTATTTTATCATCACTAAGTGAGACGATTTCCGCATCAAATGGCATTTTTGTTCAGTGGTCTCATTATCTGTGGCCTGCTGCCATGGAAACATGGTTAGAAGTAGTGCCAACTAACCTGACCAGGACAGTTTTTCTTTTTCTTTTTTGAAATAAAACCTGACCCAGGACAGTTCTTGGTAGTCCTCTATATATAGAAATCGAGATCATTCAAGATAATTTTAGTATCGGATATGAATTTCTTAGCGCAAGGCTGAGCGCCTGAGTTCTTAATTTGTCAAACCACCTGGGGCCTATTGTATCAAGCAAATATAACTAGAAGTACCACTAACTGCTAATTAACCAATACAGCCTTTGGTAGTCCTCTATATACTGAAAAGTTGTTGCTCTATCTTCCTACATCCAGTATGAGAGATTATGGCAAACAAATTTCCCACAATAGCTTCTTTTCTCTGAAGGACAATTTGGATGAAGAAACAATTATACTACCGACATACTGTTTTTTTTTGGAATTTTCGATCATAAGTTTCATGCACTTAGAAGGCATTTCTAGTTGCAAGTAGCATTACAATCTTACAATCTACCTGTTTGTTGTACACAAAGGATATTTTTTAGTCTTATGCAGTACATTTATCCAAAGCATTTTACTTACCGCAACGGTATCTGGCTCCCTGTAAACTTAATCTTCCACTCTGACATCAGCAATCTGTGATTCATTCAGTGCAATACTCTGGGGGCTCATCTCCTTCAAAGCAGTCAAGTTCCAAGCTTGGTACTCCAGGTCCAGATTTCTGGTCATGGTTACCTCCAGTACAAGATAGCAGTAAACAGAAGGAAAGCAGTACTGGTTTAAAGCCATCCAAGAAAATGGATACCTTTTCCAGTCAGCCTGATCTGTTGATGGAAAAGGAACGATCAGCAGATTCTCTATCACTCCCTTTTGAGACAGCTTTCTTCAAAAAGAAGGAAGATCGATCTCTTCCTCCTTTCCAATCATTTGCTGAGCCTGATAATGTGGATTCCAAGGCTGATCTGGCTGCTGACAAAAAGGACACATTTGAAGAACAGTTTTCAAAAAATCCAGCTGAGGTGGCTCGAGCACTGAGTGAAAGCGCTGAGAAATCATCACATGGAATACATCTAGATGGTTCAATGTGGTGGAAGGAAACAGGTGTAGAACAAAGGCCTGATGGTGTAGCTTGCAAGTGGACCGTAATGAGGGGAGTTAGTGCAGATGGCGCTGTTGAATGGGAAGACAAATATTGGGAGGCCTCAGATCGGTTTGATCATAAAGAATTAGGTTCAGAGAAGTCTGGGCGTGATGCTGCAGGCAACGTTTGGCGGGAATACTGGAAGGAGTCAATGTGGCAGGTAAATTTCTGGCTTATTGGGTAGCAATATATTTTCAAGCATTGCCAATTAGGACTACCTGTCTTGGGACATCTAGATTCATATTTAGACATGTGACTCTGCAGCTGCTGTATTTGAATCTGCTTCCTCTGTGGTTCATTTGCTGAGTTAATGTGTCCCCAGAGTAGAGGCTCAGTATTGCATTTGTTGCAGGATTACACATGTGGGGTTATGCATATGGAGAAGACTGCAGACAAGTGGGGACAGAACGGTAGAGGGGAGCAGTGGCAAGAGCAATGGTTTGAGCACTATGACTCGACGGGCAAAACTGAAAAATGGGCTGATAAATGGTGCAGCTTGGATCCAAACACACCGCTGGATGTCGGTCATGCCCATGTTTGGCATGAAAGGTAAGAGCTTCCACTATTTATCATGAACTGAATCACTTAGATCAATGAACATTCCGCTATCAGATCATTATGCTCATATGCAATAGTTGCATGCTCAAATCAAATCCATTCAACCATCTGTCTTCACTGTAGATGGGGCGAGAAGTATGATGGCTTTGGCGGCAGCACAAAGTACACCGACAAGTGGGCCGAGCGGTCGGAGGGCGATGGATGGTCTAAATGGGGTGACAAGTGGGACGAGCACTTCGACCCGAATGGCCATGGCATCAAGCAGGGGGAGACCTGGTGGGCGGGCGAGTATGGGGACCGGTGGAACCGCACCTGGGGTGAGCAGCACAGCGGGTCTGGGTGGGTGCACAAGTATGGGCGCAGCAGCAGTGGCGAGCACTGGGACACGCACGTCCCGCAGGACACGTGGTACGAGCGGTTCCCGCACTTTGGGTTCTACCACTGCTTTGAGAACTCGGCGCAGCTCCGGTCCGTGAAGAGGCAGCCGCCACCACGGAATTGAAGTCTGAAGAGATCGTGCTATAGTATAGTAGTAGATGTTCAGAGACGCTTAGGCTGATGGCATAATCTCGTTTCTACAATAACATGGCTGGTTTCAGTATGTGCTGTTGTGACAAAGTGAATCAGAATCCTGATGCCTGAACTGAGTGTTCAGACCGACATGAACAGAGAAATTTATAGAAGTTTTACCGTATATTCTGAAACATTTACCTTTTCTTTTGTCCTAGAAAGATTATCAGCCTGTTCGGGAGGCCGTATCGTATCGTGGATTATTTACTGCTGGCTGGTTTGGTGTGAGAGAAAAACACTGTTCTCGGCTGGAAATTTACGATCGTTTACGAGCAAGCGAACAGGTTGTATGCTATTTAGTTTTTACCCGAAATCTAATGCTCGCAATTACTGTGACTGCTTCTGTGATGTATCTGTAGCGTCATTACCTCCTGATCTCCCAAGCAGATTAGCTCTGCAACAGTTCTGACTTCTGAAGACCGTGCACTGTTGGGAATGTGTTTGGCCAATCATGAAGCTGTGCTACAGTGCTATTCGATGGTCTAGTAGCAAGTTGGAGTTCTGCTTAAATGAAGCCGCATGGAACATCAAACTTCAGAGACTGAATATGCTTTAAATTGTTTGGCTGGCTGAATATGCTTTAAATTGTTTGGAATGCGTTGTTGGTCTTGAAACTGAATGGTCTAGTAACAAGTTGATGCAGTTCAGCAAACATGAATGCATCGATTCCATACTGTATGCGCAGTGCAGATTCTGGGCGACATCGCGACACCATGGTGCCTAGGCACAACCAAGCGGCTGAATTAGGATGCTGAACAGATCTTTTACTCTCGTGACTTTTGATTTTTTTTTTTTAAACGCATGAGGTGTTGTACGTTGTAGTAATTCAATAAGTGAGAACTGGAGAACAATATTAGCACCATTACATCCTAATTGGTCTTATATCCTGCCAATGCGATCAAGGGCGCTTTTGGTTGGTCCTAGAATCTATCTACGCTGCTAGTTCTCTTCACTATTTTCACCGTTACATAGCTGTCTCTGTTCCTTTCAGCCCTGTATCTACGCTGCTGGTTACACATGTATTTGCACATATGCTACACTATCTATTGTTTCATGTTATATTCACAACATCTTATGACACAACCAGGTTGGTAATTACAAACGATTCACGAATTCCTCTGACCAAATGCACCAAATGGACGCAGCTCAAACTTGGAAGGACTGAGTTAAAGATTCATAGGTTAGATCACTAATCCCCTCTCCTTACGTTGGCTCCTGGAAGTAAGGATGATTTAGTGCTTCATCGACACTTAGCCGATCCTCCTGCAATATAGGATAGGTATTTATACCTTGGTGGTATAGGAACAGATCAAGTAAAAGAATGAAAAAGGAATTGTAAAAATAAGATTGAGAACCATAACATGATGCCACTATTATCTTCTTCTGTAGCCACTATTCGCCTTTTCAACCACATGAATTTTGATAGGGTTAAGAAATGTCAACTACTTAAGGAAATCTATGGAGCAGGGTTCAAGAAACTTACAGGATGCCACACAAGTAGCTGGCGTGCGAGTCGCAGTGCCCATGAATTAGGAAAGCTGGAAAACATTAGCAATGCCAATGATGAAACTATTAGATATGAAAATGATGATGGTCCAAGTATTCTGGGGCAAAGGAAATGTGGACACGAAAAGAAACACCAACCCAATCTTAAGAGGATCTCTGATCTTCACTTGATGTGCAAATGATTCTTCAGAGCATTTCCAAGAAGCTAACCCAAATTGACCCTTAAACAAAGTAAAAGAAAGCCATCATCAGCTGTCACATAGCCTTGAAACTTCAGCTATATACTATGGCAGATATGTAACGAGGGTTTCATGGGTTATTGATCAATGTTAAGGATAAAGAGCATAAAAAAGATCTGCCAAGAAAATACATGCTTTTTACAACATATGAATGTGGAAGTGAAACTACACAACAATGTGCCAATTTATCTTACATTTTTTTAGAATAAGAGAAACACTGTGCACAAGAAAATACAGTACGATCATAAGTTACAGTAATAAGCAGATAATGGAGTTGCTGACCTGTTCTGGGCCACCACTGCCATGATGTTGTGAGGAAATCCCTGGGACTAAAATGCACAACTCCATGTATGACCTCAACCTAACATCAGAACAGGAAATGAAGGAATATTATGGCAGTCATTTTTTTCTCTAGAAGAATATTCTACATATTCGTACTGCAGACCTATTTGGAACACCTCACTTCCTAATTTCATTTAATATAGCCAATTGACTATGATGGTTAGAGAGGACCTAGGACCAGATAATGCTACATTATGTCAATGTCATCAACAGAGCAAACATCAATGTGTTAGGTTGCCTATATATGACACGAGCACCTAAATTTTGAAGTGTTCTGTTCGCCTAAAAGGGAAGGCAGTAGACTTTATGATTTTCATCAGTACCAATAATTTGGGATACCCCAAGAACCATAGTAGAAATATGCAGTTCATATACTTCATAAAAACTGAAATTTTCTGTGATATTCTCAAGTTTGTTAAGAGAGTAAGACAACGACAACTGCAAACTGTATCAGTTTTGCTAATCCAGATTTCACACACGCCCAGAGAGGAGATTAACATTGCCTCACTTGTATGCAAGCTCCTTTGTTTGTTCACTCCACCCTTCGAGACACTGATCCATTAAAATACGTGTGCGGTCGCTTATCTGAAAAACATGGGGAGAACCCACCATCAACTCTAGCATGACAACTCCAACACTCCACATATCATACCTGTACATAGTAAAACGAGAACTTCAGTGAATCATAGTGCAGCTGTATGTCAAACACACTGGTACATACTGGAATTCGTAAAAGTAACAGAAGTGGGTAAAAGAGACATACTTAAGCCTTGCACATTTTGATCCTTGAAACCAGTTTGAATTAAGGAGTGCCTCTAGAGGAGTGTACTCAAATGTCTGTTCAGATCTGGAGTTGCATTACAATTGGAATGGAATGGATCAAAACAAGTCAAAGTAGTGCCATGCAACCCATGTCTAATGTCACGTTCAGAACAAGCACATCTGAAAATGTAGCAAGGAACACATTTTTCTATACATTGCCAAATATTAGATAAATACTGTTCAGTTACTTGATCTGGCTTAATCCTCGTTCATTTGAGTACAAAACCTTATTACCCAAAAGTTCAAAAGTCCAGGATCAAACATGTCCATCAGGGAAGTTGATAAAGAAAGGACGTAGTTCACAATGGACCATTGGCATGGGTGGGTAAATGAATAGGACAAAAAATTGACTTGGGAAAACCTAAATAATGAACCCTTGGACTTATTAAGAAATCCAGGTAAGATGCCCTAAATTACTCCCGATCATAAATTGCATAATTCTACAACTCAAATCAAGATCATCCTAATTTTATGCTGCAGCTAAATACTGAAGGAAAGGTAAGGGAAGGAAAATGATCACACCGAGTAGGGCCTGAACCATAAAGATTCTTCAACGTGTAATCATCAATGGCACTGCCAAAGTCAATCAGACACCTGTGTACAGGAAGTTGTTCTTTATTAATAGAAGAAGAATGCAACACCTTTCTTATAATTTAAGACAGGCAACGGTGACTATTACAGTTTCAGAAAATGATGTCTCAAATTAGAATCACAATTCACACACACACACAAAAAAAAAAGCAAGCGCGAGAAGGCACACGCAATCTAATTGCTCTAACCTCTATACTTCATGAAATTGAGAAATTGTATAGAAAAATATTACTCAGTTGAATAGTTGAGAAACTGAGATCCAACAAAAATCTATAGCCAAAAATCAAATAAAAAATCTGTGATTTACAATTGATCTTGTATTGATGTTGAGGTCTAAATTGATCTAACATGAAGTTACAAATTTCTCAAATAATTTGCTAATGTAATTTGAGGCAATGATGTGAATTGATGGGGTTATGGCCTGAGGACCAGGATAAGGGTGAAGCTGCTCTCATCGAGGTAAGGTTTGGTCCTGTCTCCTAAACTGTTAGTAGATTTTGATCATGCCTAAACTTGGACTATTTCATATTTCTTTAAGAATAGGTCCCTTTCCATAAAGGTTGGCTTGAGCAGTCTGATCAAGGTTAAATGGGGGAAAGGAATCAACTACTACAGTTTCTGCTGCTGTTTCCTCACCTCTACGCTGCTCTAACACCGTAAACAATTAGTGATTGATCACATAACTTGACACTTAAGAATATAATCTTTGCTTTCCTATGAAACCATATCTAACTAAACCGATAACCTTCCTAATTAATTGGTAAGCCACCAATTAAATAGCAAAGTAACAAATTATCTTGGCAACAGATCTCTTTATTTTAGAAGGTAACCCCTGCCATAATCCTACTGCTACAGTACACACTACTGTTCAGCGTCCTTAAGTAAGACTTACGAGGCAGAGCTAGACTGAAATACATATGGGCTCAAATCTTATATGTACTCTGTTAACCTTAGACACTCAATATAGGGTGTTTCACAAAATTCAGTGGGGGGCAATTGGCTCAGCAGCTGGAGAAGTGCCTCTGCAAATAAAGTCAGCTACCCAACAATACATTTCCAATATTTCAACAGCTAACTACCAATAATCATGAAACTCCTATGTAAAGATTAAACTTTGCCAAATTGTAAAAAGGACATGAGTGTAGGAACTTCTTGAATCCTACATGTTCAACTTATTTTGCTTTGCTTCAGATGGAACCTCTCTTAGACACTTTCCAGTCTCCATGTCCTCAAAGCAAATGATCATGTTCTCTTCCATGGTGTAAAATAAGCAATGTTAACATGACTAGTTAATAGAAATTGTCTACAGAAAAAGATTCAAGAAGTATAAAAAACAAAGAAAGAATAGACAACAATATCATTTCTACCAGGTTTGATATCCCGGTGAGTGATATTACGATCATGACAGGCCTTCAGTCCCATCAACTAGGAAAGGGGAAAAAATAAAATAAGTTAGTATCCTAAACCACCAATAAGAAGCAATTTGCAGAACAAGTGTTGCTCTTTTTATTTTTAGCCTGTTGATGGCAGCTTACATCTAGAAGAAACTAAAATGCCTCCATAGCATTCAGTTCACAGGAGAACCAGAGTCAGCATAAACATACCAGCTGCCATAAGAGGTTTTGCATTTGCTTTTGCCCAGCTTTGGTTGTCCTTAACCAATGCCACCACTTCGATGGGTGAAGAACTTGAATATGTCTGACCCTCTCATTATTGTTGCCAGTGACTAACTTTGTTTCTTCGGCAGTATATATCAGTTTTGATAATGAGCGGCCTTCATTGTGATACACCAGCCAAATTTCCCTTGATTCTGATTCAAAAGATTCTATAAACCTAGCCACGTGCTTGAGTGGTTCCTCAATAGCCGACATGTTCCTTTCTAAATGGATATCAGGATTGTATTGCATGTCCAATGAGATAGTCGATGATTCTGTCCTCAACAAACCTTCAAGAATTCTGGAAGCATTTGAAAATAATTCCCCAAAGTATTTCTCACGCAATCCACTCAAGTAAGCTGCATTTCCCCTCTCCACCTGCAGTTTTCAATCAAGGCTTAAGACGGGACAATAAGGCTCTTCTAGCATCAGTACTGTTTCAGGGAAATCCTCTTTTATATGTTTGTTTTCTTTTAGCAAATATTTGCTTTGTGAATAACAAAGTAGTTCAAAATATAACAGATGTTCCAGGAAAAAACAATCCAATGAGTCAAATGAATTGGAATTGAAAACAATTTTGTTTACTGCACACCTAACCTGACTAAGAATAAATCAGCTAGACACCGCAGAATCACAAATAACCTGAATTGTAATAAATCGACAATAATAATTATATGTTTTCTTCAGCAGTTTCCCAGCATCAGCAAGAAGTAGCTTAAAGAAATTGACGGGCTAGTTTCCGGACTGAACCACTGTTAGAGTACATCATAGGCCTATTGGGCCTGGGATGGCGGTATAGCCCGTTAGTGTTAGAGACAAGGGTCGCTTGCTTAAGGGTCAAGTAATCCTTGCTTGAGAGTCAAGTAAACCTCTCTATATAAGGAAAGGAGATGTATCAATCTAATCAAGCAAGAATTAAGAAGGAAACCCTTCCCTCTTGCTCGGCCGTGGGTAAAGGCCCCGCGGCCGGCCTCTCGCCCTCGCAGCCCTAGCCGTGAACAGTCGCCGTCACTCCTCTCAACGAGTGGCGGCGCCAGGGGTATTCCTGTGTATTCCATGGAATACCCATGATTTTGAAGACAAAACAAATATGTATATACATATGTATAATGGTATAACATGTATAGTTGCTAGACGTTGCAAATATAAAGCCCAACCGAAACCAGCAACTCACAGCGCACCAAATATGGCTTCCTGGCATGCAGCCGCTCACATCGCATAGCACGCGTCTGGAGCTGGCGGCGCGGAACGATGGAAGCAGGGGCGGAACTGCGGAAGTGAGGGATCCCATCGGCTCAACGTTCGGCGATGGCGAGCCTCGTGGGCACGGCGGCACGCCGCACACCCCCTCCCTCTCGGCCCTCGGCCCTCGCCCCTTGGCCCTGCGGCGCTACGAGCGCGACCTGCGCGGGCATAGCTGTGCCCAAGCCTAGCGACCGGCGGCGGTGGTGAGCCGGCGACGCGCCGCGACTCCGCGGCCGCGAGCCCGGTGCTCCAGCAACCCGCAATGGCCACGGTTCGGCTCCGGCTTGCTGCTAGTAGCTTTGATGTTTTGTAATTTTTCTTAAGACACTATGCCACTATGTTAGCTTGTACTTTGCTAAAAAAATTTATGTACATGGAATACCCAGGCGTGAAATCCTGGCTCCACCACTGCTCTCAACTCTCCTCTCTCAATCCCAACAGCCACATAGCACCGCGGGTACTGTAGCTCCGATATCAAATTGTTATGTGGCTGTTGGGTTGAGGGGAGCGACGGCGACTGCGGGGCTACAGTACCCCCCGCGGGTACTGTTCACGGCTAGGGCTGCGAGGGCGAGAGGCCGGCCGCGGGGCCTTTGCCCACGGCCGAGAAAGAGGGATGGGTTTCCTTCTTAATTCTTGCTTATATAGAGAGGTTTACTTGACTCCCAAGCAAGGATTACTTGACCCTTAAGCAAGCGACCCTTATCTCTAACACTAACGGGCTATACCGCCATCCCAGGCCCAATAGGCCCATGATGTACTCTAACAACCACACCATTGAGCACCCTTTTGGGCAGAACAGATGTACTTTACTTCACATGTGATTTTTCTGTTAGTTTTTTTACTGGTCAAGGGGCAACTCTTTCCCAAGTGGAGAAATGAGGCCTAGGGCTTACATGTCATGGCCACAAGCATATTTGAAAGGTTTCTGTAGGATGCGACAAGCATATTTGAAAAGTTTCTGTAGGATGCCATAATTTTAAAGTTTTAAGGGCCAGACCAAAGGTAATAAGCAAGGGCAGCTTGCCTTACAACTGGCGAATGCTCCTCCCTACTGCATGCACGAGCAGGCTCTGAACTGCTAGGTGCGGGCATATTTTTCAAGTTTATTACTGCTTAATGCACAAGAGTTAAGTTCTCTTCTTTAAACATATGTACTCTAATGCAGATGTGGGGCTTATGTAGGGAACCCCATATGGCAAAAAGCGATAAAGACAGGTATTCAACTGATTTAATTTACCATTATGCGCTTCAGTATGAATAAATCACCATCTACTGTGCCTGAAACATGATCTTCATCAGATGACATTGTGTCTGAACTTGTGCAATTATACATCTCTGATTTAGATATAGTGGTAAAGTGTGGAGGCTCTTTATGAACATCTGCATCTTCAGAGCAATTCCAGTGAAATGCCAACCAGACTTCACCGTATGACCCACGATCAAATCTTCTCTTAAGCTTGTATCTGGACATGGTTAAAAAAGGAAATCTCCTTTTAGTGAATAAAAGACTTGTACTATTATCATGATACTGTACATTACGCCAAGCAATGTAGTTGAATAATGTAATGCACATGCACTATTAAATACAGGAGAACATCAAGCACATTCCAGGTAAGTTGCTGCAAAGGACCAAATCATTATCCCACAGCACATATCAACTATATGTCTATATCCTAATGCTTACAACTCATGAGACCAATAAAGCTCATCAGAAGTAGCCCTTGCAATAACTCTTCCACTTCACTCAAGGATAGTCATTTCATAAATGTTAGTATATTACACTGAGACAACAACAAATTTTCTGCCTTGCAGTTTACCCCTTAAACATGCCACTCCATTTGGATATGTAGCTAATGTTTTGCATATCATCTGACAAGAAATTATTGCTATGTTTAGAGAAAGAAGATAATGGAACTACAGAAATGTCAAAATGGCTCAAGGTTGCTTGACATGGAACCAAGCTTGACATTCATTTAACATCAATTTAAGCAAGTGAAAAGTCCAATGAATAGAAAACAACTAAAATAAAGAATCCAAACTTCAACATAAATTGGTGATATCCAGGTATGCTAAGTACAAATCATGATAAAACAAGGTACAAAAGGCTATCCAATTGAAAACATAGCAACTACCCAGGAAGTTTCCCTCAAAATAAGTATTCAGAATGTTCCTTGAGAAATGGAAAGGTACCTGAAATCTATTGTGTTGCCAAAGGAGCGTGAACCATTTGATTTGCTTCCATTATGCGGAAGGGAGTCAAGTAGACCAAAAAAAATTGCAAAAGCTTCAGGACCATTGCACCGCCCCATTTCGCCATCTTGATGACCAAGGTACAAGCAAAAGTGTCTGTCCTTGTATTTTTCAAGATTACCTGTATACAATGTAGAAGAGAACAACCAAAGTCATGAACAAGATAAAGACTATCAAACAAGTCAAACATCACATCAGAATTCCACAGCCCTCTCATCCACCAAATTTGGCAATTGACTCTTTCTAAAAGGTGTTCAGCGGTGCTGGACACCCCTCCCCACCACCACCACCACCACAGCACCACTACACATACACACACACAAAAGAAAGGACTTATTTCTGAAAAGACCCACCCATGAGTATATAAAACAGGCAACTAACCATCAGAATATAAGACAGTCTCAGCTGGCATGTGATTGAAGTCTTCTTCACGCTGGTATGCTTCCGGTACCCTAAATATGTAGTCCGTATCTTCATCCAGACTCTCGGATAAGTAGAAACAACCAAGCTTTGCTTCAACCTAATTTTAGAGTAAGCAAAGGAACCCAAATAGCATCATCCAACTCGTCACAAAAAACAGAAACTGAACAAGAAATTATATACTAAATGAAACAGGTAATAACAACAAAGATGAACTCACATGGCATAAAATTGTATCATGCATTTATATCAATTGGCAAATCTAACTCCCAAGATAAAAGGTAACTATATTCCTCACTTACCAAGAACCTCTGGAACTTTATTGATGAACGCTTGAAATATTCCATGTCAATGACAGCTGAACTAGTGCCATCATCTGCTAGCCATATGAAAATACACGTAAGTAAAACCATGTATAAGGTGTTCATGAACAACTGAATAACTCCATGCCATCATCTCACCACAAAATAAAATAAAATAAAATAAAATAAAATAAAATAAAGGACAATGAGCTCAGAGGAGAGTTTGACCTCAACTTAAGGTGTACTATGTATAATGACATAGTCAAACGGGTAAACTAAGGAGCAAGGATTTACAGACATGGAAAGAAAATAGAAAAATACAGCAGCATGGCAGCAACAGAAGAGCGAAGAGGATACCAACACAGAATTATCATAGAAGGGGCATGAATGCTCCTGTGAAATATGGCATTCCTATAAATATTGCCCCCATATTGTTAACAACAGGGAATTGGGTCAACTGACATGTGACTTTGAATAGCAGAAAAAACAATGCACAATATTAACAAATTGTTAGGGTCATTTGCAACAAGTAAAAACCAAATTATAAACAAATTCAATTATTATATAATTAAATAATATGGAAATGCACGAATTTATGGAGTGGTTACAAATACAATTAACAAAATACAGTCAATGATCAGTGAGACTACCAGGCTTCAGTCCATATGGAATATTCAACACTGGAGAAATAGATGTCTTGAGATCTTCAAACTGGGACCAATCTTTTAATGTAGTACCAGTGCTACCAGGTGATCCCAATGGAACAATTACAGCAGCCACATTGTCTGTTGTGCCTTTCTGTAAAGCAACATGAACTAAATAATCTGCCAAATTATGTTGTCATAGCAGAGGATCCAAAATCGTGTTTAACACGAAATTTAGCATGCAACATCAGGTCACAAACATCTTGCATAGTTATTTTCTCAAAGACCCCATCAGATGACGCAATAAGAAAAGTGTCATTTTCTGACAGAATCTGCCACCCTGTCAATTCAGGTGTTGATATTACACCATACCTGCAAAAACAATTAGAAGGATCACGTCAGCCTGTCCATCTAACTCTACTGAATGGAGAAATAGCATATTATATCAACATTTTAAGAAACTCCATCTTAGCATGGGCCTAGCACTCTGCCTCAGGGGCGACTTATATCTGTTTTCAATCAATACCACATTATATAACGGTTAACATGCAGATGCTCCTCTCACTAGCTAGGTATTGAAATATGTTCCATTTTGGCTGTCGTGGAATTTAGAACTTCAGCTAGAGTCTTAATCTCTATTCCATCCCCCCATGCAAGTTATTACTCAACAGTTTCATTGTAGTACTCTTGAGGAAGGATGGCAGCTTTAGCCCCTTGTAATTTTATTATATACAGATTTCTCAACAAGCAAACTGTAATACATGAACAAAACCGGGGAAGCAGCCAAGTGAGACAGAGATGGAGAGAAGGTCAATAGATTACATGTTAACCTTGATCGACAAAATCTACCAATATGTGATACAAAATCATAATTGTAAGTATTTTTTCAATACAAATATAAAGGGCGTACCCAGTGCAGAGAGCTCCCGCTCTGTGTGGGGTCTGAGGAAGGGTGTCAGTAGCAAGCCTTACTCTCGCCTGTGCAATGCGAGGAGACCGCGACTCGAACCCAGGACCTTCCGGTCACAGGCGGTAAGACTCTACCGCTTGCAAATAACATCAATTCAATACAAATATAATCAACTTACCGCCTGTGACCGGAAGGTCCCGGGTTCGAGTCGCGGTCTCCTCGCATTGCACAGGCGAGGGTAAGGCTTGCCACTGACACCCTTCCCCAGACCCCGCACAGAGCGGGAGCTCTCTGCACTGGGTACGCCCTTTATATAATAACATCAACTTTGTATGACAAAAATCATATATTGACAAGATATTGTTGGCCAAAGGCTTGTCCTAATGAAAGAAAATGCACCTTGTAATTTCAAACGGAGGGAGTGCAAATTATTATCCATCGACCAAGCTGAAATTATTCCACCATAAAGCATCTAAGCCAAGAACAAACTAGGTATCCAATAAAGGCAGCTAAGCAGTGTCACCTCATGGACCATTTCACCGTAAATCGGTGCAAGTGCAGCTGATAACATAAAAGGATGTGACCTTTAGGCCTTATGATAGAATATGGTGCAGTGTTGGAGAGAATCTTGCACAGGAATAAGGTCATGCTGACAAAAAAATGCAGATGACATCACAGTGCCCAGAAAATACCCTATACAATGACTTGGATATGCACAGTTACCAGAATTAATAAGTAAATAGTAGTGATTTATCTTCGATGGCTTATGATGGTTGACTTTACATCAAAGCTCTTATGCACATTTTCCCCATGTTGCTAGAGCACAGTGGCATCTTGAACAGGAATATCAAATCCTAAACATGGGCAATCTTTTTCCACAATAGGTGGAACTGAATTTTATTACCTAAGAAATGAAATTATAGAGTACTTGTTTACCAATCTCACAAGTCATACCTACTTACCACCTACTAACCATGAGAAGCTAACCAGACCACAACACAAAGGGCTCTGGCTGACTAAACAGGCAATCTGGACCCAGCCATGAAAACCATATCATATTCTTAGACTAAGACTCTAAGAATGGGCTGATATTTACAATGCAGGCAAGGGCCAACAGTACCCTGTTATAACCTATATATTGTTGAAAGGAATATGACATCAAGAGATGAAGGGGAAGGGTCAAGGGAGGGAAGGAATAACATCGACAAAAATAAAAACAAGAACCATCTAGTCAAGGTGAGTCAATATTCAACTCGGCTGGTACATCTGAAATTTAAAAAACTGAAGAATGAAACTTAACTATTTCGATGGTGCGAATCATATCCTTGTGAGCATAGAAAAGCTTTTGAATCTCCAACATTGGCTGCTATAATTTGTCCATCAGCTATCAAGACCACGGTCACTGTTGAACCAGACTCAAAATTGTTCTGTAAAGCGTCCTGCATTGTACACGAAGAAGAATCCTTTTCTGACATATGAAGCTGTATTACAAAATTTAACTATACAGATGAAACATGAGACCTTCCTTGGAGAATGTTAAATCAATATCATGAACTGCCCTCATTAGTGATTCCTTCAGAATTTCCATGTGAAATGACCGGTCTAGAATAGCTGGCGATGTCCAACATGACCTTCAATTTTTCATCAGTTCGAAAGTTTGGTTACCCTGAATCATTTGAACAATTATGCTACATATCAACGAAAACTGGCATATGAAAAGAAAAACATACCTCTTTCCATGGTTGGATTGGTCATCCTTGTACAGATTAAATACATTGTTAAGAATAGTAGCTTCCCGATATGTCAGTTTCCCAGTAGATTTTCTGAACAGCATGGAGTATATTCCATCGAGAAGAAAATAAACATGGAGCAAGAAGTAATCCAGAAAAAGCTTAGAAGCCATCTCACTAGCCTCAGCTCCATTATGACCATCAAATATTGCCACCACTCCCACATCAACCTCTTTAATCCTCATCTGCTCTGTATTATGTAAGTGAGTTAGCTAAGATAAATTATAGACAAACTACAAACAAATAGAGTGCATGGGGTAAAGCATTGAACCAGAGTAACAGAGTAACTAAAATGCTTTTGAGAAATAGCATTGAACTATTAATTGAGCATGCAACAGGTCAACAGCCATATGTAGCATTGCCAGGGCCTGAGGTGTGTCTCACCAAGCTGCCATTGTGTCAATTGGAGGCTAGAACTTGGAGGCTGGTGTCTCTAGGTCGAGGTCATGTGTTTTTTTGTTTCTAAAGGCGAGTGTGTGTTCCATGTAAAACTGTGAGTGTGTGAGTGCGTTGGATTTGTACGGGTTCTAAACCCCTTTCTTTCTTCTTCATATAATGATATGTAACATCTGCGGTAGACTGGTAAGCATAGGATGTTTTAAACTAATTCAGATTGATGAAAAAAAATCTATGGTGCATTGCACTACAATACCTCCAGCAAATTCAGGCCCTGTTTGGTTGAGCTGTGGCTGTGGGAGAAAGCTGCTGTGGGCTGTGAGCTGTGGAAAAGCTGATGTGAGCTGTGAGCTGTAGAAAAGCTGAAAGTTGTTTGGTTAAACAAGTATAAAATATACCTTTTATCTTTATCTCTCTTGAAACAACTATGGAAGAGCTTTTTATTCCACCAATTTCGAAAAGCAGAAAGCCAAAAGCCAAAAGCAGGATCAAACCAGCTTTCAAAAATGAACTACGGAAAAGCAGCTGCTTCTGAAAAAACACCCTCCAAAAGCAGCCCCTTTGGTTGGGCTTTTGGCTTTTGGGGCCAAAAGCCCAACCAAACAGGGCCTCAGTGTTGCAATTTGACACCCAGCTATGGTGCGTATGTTTGAACAGTAGACATCCAGAAGGTTCCTGGTGTTACTATCTGGAAACCAGCATCCAATTTGGACCTCAGTGCTTTCCATCTTATCAACCCCTTCGAATAAGATGTCAAGCAACATAAGGCAAATACAAGCACACTGAAATACAGCCTAAACTAGAGCTCTAGAAGATCATTTCGGCATATATCTCTAGCTTGGTGCTAATGGCAAATAACTGTGTGGTGCTGCAGTATATACTACTAGGCTAAAGCAACGCGACCCAGAAATCTAATTCAATTAAGTTCACAGAATCCATCCAAGTCACTGGCTGATTTGAGCACTACAAACTGAAGCATCCAGTTCACGTTGTGAAGTTGGGAGTAAGTACCTACGAAGGGGATGCGGATGCCGAGGGCACAGACGGCGCGGTCCTCCTGGGACCGCCGGCGGCCGCGGTCGGCCGCCACGTGGCACCCCATCGGGGAGCTCTTGCCCCCGCCATCCCCCTGGCCGTCGTGCGGGGGGAGGGTCCAGCGCGGGCAGTGCGCGGACTGGAACACCGCGGGGGCGCCCCCCTCCCGGTACAAAGCGAGGCACGTCGCCGACTCGGCCGCGCACCGCGGGAGCCGCGCGGGGAGCGCGTGGAGGACGAGGAGGAGGAACGGTAGGATGGGGAGGCCGCGGCGGCCGGAGATGGGCAAGGGCATCGGCGACGGCGACGGCGAGTCGCCGGCGGCGGAGGAGAAACGGTGGGGCCGAGCCCAGAACGGTGTTTTGCTTCGTTTTTTTTTATTTGGAATTTTTTTTTTTTTTGGAAGAGGTAGGATGGGGATTGGGGAGCCCAGAAGGCAAGAGCCAAGAGCTCAAAAGTTAGCTTGCACTCTTGCTTCGTTGAGCACCAAGCGCGCCCCAGGCCGCACGTGTCACGTGATATGTGTATATGATGTAAGCTCAAGTATTTCTCGTCTCTGACGTTTTTGTGACTTCTACTAGGCGAGATTCTTCGGCCTGTTCGGGAGGCCGTATCGTATCGTGGATTATTTACTGTTGGCTGGTTTGGTGTGAGAAAAAACACTGTTCCCGGCTAGAAATTTACGATCGTTTACGAGCAAGCGAACAGGCTGCTTACTTGCCGGCAAAACTAGCGCCCCGACGTCCAGCTCTAAGCCTGCCTCTGATCGCGGCTTCGTTTGACGCAATCGTCCGTCCCCCTCACGTAAAATCGAATCCAAACAGGAATCGTGTCAGTTGCGCCCGCGCAAATAGGAGAGCACACCCGCCGCACCCCATGTCACCACGTGCCTGTGCCCCTGCTCCCAACCACGAGATGCAATAGAAGGTGGGAGGAGGAGATATGCAACACCTGATCTACTTTTTTGAAACATTAAAAAACAACGGTTGCAACGTATGTCTGAAGGCAGTTGAAACACTTGAAACATGCTTCTAAAACACTTCAAAAACACCCCTAAAACACGCAACCATACGCAACATCCGAGTAAAACACATGCAACATATGTGTGAAACATATGCAACATCTAGATAAATACAATTGCAACATGCGTCCGGAAAAACATAGATGAAACATACATCTAAAACACTCGAAACATACTATTGCAACATACCTCTGGGAACAATTGCAACATATACAACATGTGCAACATCTCCTAATCTACTTTCGCAACATCCATACGGTTCAACTACAACATACATCTGAAACGTCTAAAACAATTGAAACATGCAATTGCAACATAGGGGAGAGAGAGCCTGGTGTGGGGAGCGCCATGGGCGTCGGATCTGCGGGCATTGGGGGCTCCAGGTGCCGGAGCAGGGCCGTGCGCCCGCGCCAGATCTGTGCCCCCACCGGGGACACCGCCGGGTTGGCGCCGTCCCCACACTGGAGTTGAGGCCAGGGTGGCCGGCTGGAGGAGGAAGGGGGTTGCGTGGGGGTGGCCGCGTGGATTAGAGATCGTACTTGCGCCGGGGACGCCACCGCGCTGGAGCAGGAGGAGGGAGAGGGAGGCAGCGGGGTGCGCGGCTCATGCGACGCGCGTGGGAGAGGAGGACACCGCGGTAGGAGAGGAGGATGCCTACGTGGATCAAGGAGCGTGGTCGCCACCGGCGTGCGCGACGGGGCAACGCGGTGGGAGCGGGCTGCACCGTGGAGGCGGATGGCTAGGTGCGGACGAGAAGGAGCGAGTGTAGCGAGTGGGGAGACGCGTCTGGCTGCACGGACGCCCAGGTGGAATCATTATCGTATGTGCCCCGTTTAATTTTAAGTATTGGACCTTAAATTGGTGAGTTAAGAGCATCTTCATTGGATCTCTTTTCTGTTAAAATCTAGTAAAGAAGATGTTTTTATCTCAAAAACTTTGTTTCCTTTAAAAACCAATTCGAGGTTTCTCCCTAGAAACTAGTTCAGATACAAAACGTTGTGTTTGGCTCATGAACACATGAAAGCTAGAGGTAATGACACGTGCACAATAAACAACCATATAGTCGGTCACTTTATTACAAACCCTAGAGCATATAGAAATTTTATAATTTATAAATTGAGGGTACATGAGCTCACAAATCTATACAAATAACGCACCATGTAGGCTTCTATCCAACTTCCTTGATTCAAGGTGTGGGGTCACTCCTAACCTCTCACCCTCGCCGAGGATGCGCGAGGAGAGGTCGAGGACTCGAGGGTTTCCCATATGAGGAAAGACGGATGAATGTTAGAAAGGAGTAGGCGTTCGGGTGAAGGGCCCCCGAAGGGGAGACAAAGAATAAATATAGATTAATTGCTTATTTAATTGACAAAAAAACTTGTCTCTTACACGAGTGTCCCGGGTATTTATAGATCATACCCCAGGTCATGATGAAATTACACTAGGGTTGGTGCCCGATACTTGGTCACAGTACAGAGGCCAAGGGCAAGGCGGTATCCTCCATTCCCTTGCCCAACTATTGTAGGGTCGAGATAGCGGACTAGATGGGGGTGAATAGTCATTTCTAAATTTAATCGCACCGGCTAACCGAAACAAATGCGAAATTAAAATAATCAGTTTAGCCAAGACTACACCCCTCTATCGAAGTTCACAAACACCTTATAAAAATCCTAATTAAACAATTAAGGTGCCGGGGTAGCTAGAGCTCACCTAACCAATTCTAGAAGTAAGGTCACACAAACCTATACCACTAGTACTTTAAGCAACGAGGGAGCTCCTACACATGCTAGTAAGCAAAAGCACAAAGCCACCTAAGCTCACTAGCAATGCTCAACAACAAGGCTATACAAGCAAAATTATAGAGCGCAAATTACTTAGCTACACAAACTAAGCAATGTGACTAACAAGGTTACTCAAACTGAATTAGTCATGCAAGGGAGCTACTCTATGCTACACAAGCAAGAAGGTAACTAGTGAGCTACACAAGTTAACTAATTACAAGAGCAATTACACAAGCACAATGTATATGAAAGTAATTACAAGCTTGTGTAAGGGGATTGCAAACCAACAGGAAGAACAATGTTGACACGGTGATTTTCTCCCGAGGTTCACGTGCTTGCCAACATGCTACGTCCCCGTTGTGTCGACCGCTCACTTGGTGGTTCGGTGGCTAATTAGCATCACCCACCAAGCCCGCACGTCAGGCACCGCAAGAACCTACCCTGAAAGTGAGGGTAGCTCAATAACATGCTCAACTAGAGTTGCTCTTCATGGCTCCCGCGGGGCGAGCACAATTCCCCTCACAAAGCTCTTCTTCGGAGCACCGCACAAGCTTCTTACGGGCTTCGACGGAGACCACCACCAAGCCATCTAGGAGGTGGCAACCTCCAAGAGTAACAAGCACCACCGGCTTGCAACTCGATCACCTAGTGCCACTCGATGCAACCTCATGATGCAATCGCACTAGAATCGCTCTCTCACACAATCGAATGATCACTATCAAGCATATGTGAGATGGAGGGCTCCTAAGCACTCTCAAGCATGGACACAAAGTCCCCCAAGGTGCACCACACCAGCCATGCCTAAAACCACCTTCTATTTATAGCCCCCACGAAAATAGAGCCGGTGTACCCCTTCACTAGGCACAGCTCGGGGCGACCGGACACTCCGGTCGCGCGATGCACGCCACGTGGCACCTGCTTCAAATATTGATCGCCCAATCTCAACGATCATCAGTATACTTAAGTTGTGACCAGACGCACTACAGTGTATGACCGGACAAGGACTCCAGCGTTCGGTCATTTCCAGTAAGGTTCCAGTCGCGACCGGACGTGTTCGGTCACTCACCGTCTTCTTTGTGCGTCGCCACATCAGCACGACCGGACGCTGAACAATGTTCAGCCAGAGTTCGGTCACCTACGTCCGATCAAGAGACCGAGGGCGGCCTACACTGTGAGCCACTAACCGGACGTAGGACCCCAGCGTCCGGTCACTACGTTACCAGCGCCCAGTGCACTCTGTGCAACCCTGTCTTTTCTGTACAGGGTGCTGGTGGCACCGTCGGACTGTTCGCACCCTACGGGCGGACACTCCATCGGTGAAGTTTCGAACCCTTGCTCCCAAGTGCTAAACACAATGTGTATCACCTTTGTGCATGTGTGTTAGCATATTTTCACAAACATTTTCAAGGGTGTAAGCACTCAACTTGCCACGCCACTTGATCCTAGCGACGATGCAAAGTTAGATCACTCAAGTGAAACTAGATGACCGATATGCAAACAAGTTTGCCCCTCTTGATAGTACGGCCATCTATCCTAAACCCGGTCATCAACTTCTCTACACACCTATGACCGGTGAAATGAAATGCCCTAGGTTATACCTTTGCCTTGCGCATTCCATTTCATCTTCTCCAATGTCGATGCAACACATGCACCAACACGATCAACAATGATATGATCCACTTCATATCATCACGTGATCATATTGGTTCATCGATCTTGACTTCACTTGTTTTTCACTGTTGCCTTCGTCCATCGGCGCCAAGTCTTGCTCAAGCTTCACCACCACGCGGTCCATTGCTCCAAAGCCTCTGACTTGCTCTTCAAGCTTGCAATCGGTCCATCAAGCCAAGTCTTGTCTTGATCTTCTCCACCTTGATCATATGACTCAATGCCATGTCTTATGTGCAATAAGCTCCTTCATCATCACATGTGTGAGGTTTGCAATATCTCCGAGCCATTTCCACCTCCATGGCATATGTTGCTCACACACATGTACCTGTGGACTAATCACCTGTGTATCTCACATAAACACAATTAGTCCACCTAGGTTGTCACTCAATTACCAAAACCACATAAGGACCTTTCAACTACCCCAAACCCTAACCACACTAAAGATGCCACCATCGGCTTCCTGTTGATCTCCCCTATCGGCTCGTGCCAAACCCTCATCCGTCCAGCCGAGGATCCATCTCCCGTCAGTAGCCATGCTTTCGCTGGCTCAACCCGCAGCCCTTGGATCGATACTTCATGTATAACACCTGCAATGGAGGACAGCTGATAAACAGCACCCTCGGGGTGGGGGTCAGCATCCACTGTGAGGCTAGTTAGTTGACTCTAAAGCGGGGGCCAAGGGATAGGCGGGGGTTGAGCTAGGGTCGCCTTCCCCCAACACAAAGATATGGCCTAGCATAGATGCATCAGTTTCTAAAATCACCTTCTTTGTGCACAGTTTGTAAGGAAAATGGACCTTAGGTCCATTTACTTTGGATTTTG